ATGCTAGGGATGTGAAGCAGGTGCTTTCTCACTGACCTGTGGTCCCTCCTCCCTTATTTTGGGACCCACCTTAATCAGGGACATCCTCTTTTAGGAAAGGCTCACAGCTCAGCAGTAGATCCCAAAGCCTAGAAACATTTTGTTTTGCTGTGAATTCTAGTCATACTAGAATTCACAGCATATTGAAGAGAATCTCTGCCCCACAGACACAATGGAAGGCATCTCACAACTGGCCAATCAGTCTTCTGACCAATCCGCCAAGTTTCTGATCCAACAGAATGTACATCAGCCATATTCGGATGGCATCTACTGAGTATGCAGTGCCAAATCTTGCATTTATTTTTGAAGATCCAAGCACATTACATTGCCTCTTGAAGAAAACAGACACAAGAGACAGACTGGTGCAGTGGCTGGTCTTGTCCATCTGGGACTTGGGAGGTCCATGTTCTCATCCCTCTTCCCTATGCTTGAAGCCCACTAGGCGGTCTCTTTCAGCCTGACCTCCCCCACAAGATACCAAGACCCTAAGATCATTAGGAGAAAGGTGAGACTTTGTCATGAAACAGGGACCTTACTGCAGAGACCAGATGTTGTTGGCAGGCTATGTCTGACCAGGGAGACTACAAATTTTGGTAGACTTTCCTTAGAGCGGTTGTTCCCAACCTTGAGTTGCCAGATGTTCTTGGCTTCCATTTAACTTGATGATGCATAGAGTCCCTTCCAGCTTTGCCGTTCTAAGGTGGTGGTTATTTCCTTTTGTATTTTTTCAACATAAGCAGCAAAGAATCTTTTGACATCTTAAAGCAGTGGTTTCCAACCTTGGTTCCCCAGATGTTCTTGGACTACAGCTCCCAGAAATCCTGGCCAACACATTTTGTGGTGAAGGCTTCTGGGAGTTGTAGTCCAAGAACCTCTGGGGGCCCTTTGGCTAAGAACCACTGTCTCAGGGTATCTTCAAGTCTAAAAGTTTCAGTGCCATGTTTCACCTACATCAGAAGTTTCTTCATCCCAGCTCCGACCATGGGTCCAGCTCACTCCATAGTCTAGCAGGATGATAGGGTAAACTGACAAGCTGGTCCTCCATGCCATGAGCTAGACGGAAGGTGGTTTCCCTGCCTTTCCCTGCCCTACAGAGGCATCCTGAAAGGCCTGAAATGCATGATAAAGTGATGATCACGGTGGGGGAAAAGGATGTTCATGTGTGTCACACTGCTAGAAAAAGAAGCGAGAGGATTTTTCCCTCCTATATGAAGATGACTGGAAGCAAGTGGCTTGGCACTTGGCAAAGCAGTGGGGAAGCACTCTCCTCTATTTCCTTGGTCACTAAAGTATGTAACCAGAAATTTCCTACTTTCTTAGTTAACGGCCTCCATTTTCCTCACCCTGCTACTTGGCTTTCTTCCCTATAAGCCAAGCTCACCGAGGATCAATGGGTGAAAATCTAGGGCAGGCAAGAAGCTTCTCCCCCCACATTTTGTCTGCTTCCCCCATGTTTACCGTTTGCCCACCACCAAGAGGAGGCACTAGCACTGGCACCTTCCCCCAGCAGCCCTGCAGCAGCATCACTGTACCTCCCCTGTGGAACATGCACAGCGCCCCTCCCCTAGCCATGAAGGAAAAGGGGTGTGGTGGGAATATGGCCAGGGAGGCAGGAAAACAAAGCTGTCCTTCCCAAGTCGGCCAGTTTCTGGACCGCACGGAAGGAAGAGATCCATCCAGTCCACCATCCATGAGTACACCTTTCCCCACCCAACATGTCTGGCTCCTTGGATGAAGGCGGAAGGATCCTTTTCAGCCACGAACTGGTCTACCTGACATCAGTGTGGGCACAGTGCCACCTGTATCCTAGGATGTATCTCCCTGGTCCCACCCAGGGCAGCAGGCAGAAAAGCTCCAGGTACCTATTCCATGTTGATCTGAGCTGGTTTTTAAAAAAGAAATCAAAGGTATCTCCTGCTCAGAGAAACAACCAGGGATCCAGAGGGAGATGCATGTATTTTATTGGGGATGGAGGTGAAGATACCAGTCGCTTCCCAAATCAGACCTGTTGCTGACCTCGAGCCCGCCTCCCCCCCCGCCCCCCTCTCTGGTAAGCATCGCATACAGAAAAGATCTGTGCGTGGGCACGGGCGCATCAGGACCCCCAAATATGCTCAGATACGCTGACCTACGCGGAGTGCTTTCCCCCTCCCCCTTAACACCGCTTTTTCAGCCATCAGCTAACCTTCTCCTTGGAGGAAGCAAGGCCCTCGGTTCGCCTCCAACCATGGGGTGGGGGTGTGATTTGAGAGCCTGTAAAGCCTTTGCACCAGTACACGCGAGACAACGCATTCACAGGTGTGCCAAGCAGTGGAGCGGGACGTCGGTGGAGCGGAGGAGAGGCGGCTTGGGTGAGAGGCAGGGATCGGGGGAACTACGCGGCGCCTCTTCGGCGACCGGGCACCCCGTGCGTTGCACGAACCCCTCCGGGGCGCAAGGGGATGGCTGCGATTCGCCATGGAAGGTGGGGATGGGTGGGTAGGTGGGTGGGAAATGACTGAGTGGTGGGCAGTTGTTTCCTGCACAAAATAAAGACACGTGCTCGAAAATCCGGCTAAACGCTTCCCTCCTTTCCCTTTTGTCACAATAATCCCGATCCCAATTAAATAAAGGGTCGATCTGGGAAGGGGACTGTTGTGTAAACACAGCCTGCCCAATCCGAGGGAGGCGCTCGAAGAGATCCGGCTCTCCCTTGTGACCAGTGGGCGATCTCGATCTGTCAGCGGGACTGGGGGGAACAAAAATGTTGCCAGGTCCAAGATCGGAGCCCCTCCTCCCCCGCTTTGGGTGGTCAGGGGCTCTGACGGGCGCCGAGCGCAACGATCATCTCCTCCCCCGCATTTGACCTCGGGAAGACTGGCGGATGCGGGCCCCAAAGCCAGCCGACATCTCCGCCCCGCGGTGGGTTAGTGGAACGGGGGGGGGGTTTCCTGCGCGGATCGTTACCTTTCTCCTGCAGAGGAGTATTCACCTCTTCCTTGCTAACCTGGGTGATAATGGACCCGCTGTCCATTAGACCAGAGGTACAGGGCGCGCTGGGTCGTTCTCGTTCTCGCTTCCCCTCCGCCAATTGTCTTTCCGCCGCTCCGGGGAATTTTTCCAGGGAGTTCACAGATTTGTTGTTTCAAAATTTAAAAAAAAAATTAAAAGAAAAAGGAAAGAGGGAAAAGGGAGGGAAATGGAAAGGGGAAAATTAAAAGGGTGGGGAAGGGGCGGGGGGAGATGGGGGAAAAGGGAAAAACAAAACAAAAAGGGGGGAAAAGAAAAAGACAGCGGCGAAGGAAACTTTGTTACAACATGGAGTTCCCTCTTCACGGTTTCTGATACAAACATGGAGCCCAGGCGCGGTTTCAAGCTACCCCTTAAAAGGGCAATGACTCCGGGAGGCCGGGGATCGCCGCCGCCGCCGCCGCCGGCAGCAGCAGCATCCTTCTCAACTCTTCCATCCGAGTCGAGGAAGCGGGTCCTTTCTTCCCTCCCATCCTGGGGCAGTTGGAAGGAATCAAACCGGGTGCGGCGCGTCGAAGCTGCGTGCCAGATCTGTGCAAACCAGACCCACAAAAAAAGCTTGTTAAAATCATCATCATCATAATAAAAATGCGCGCCTCTTTACATTCTGCAAAGCAATGAGCTCCCACTCCGGAGCAAGAAGCTTTCTCTCCGGAGACCTTTGGGGCCGGGATTGAGAGCGAGAGCGAGGGATCGCCGCCGCTGCTGCTGCTGCCACCGCCACCATTGGACCCAATGGCTTATGGAGGGATCCGCCGGCTCCTGCCTCTGTGAGCGTTTCGGAGAGACTGGCTCAGCCTCCTCTGTAGATCGCAATAACTTCTCCTGGCCCACCTCAGGCGGCGGGTTCGGGGCCAGGTACGTCGGAGAGGCTCCAGATGGCAAGGGCAAGCGGTTGGCGCCCCCTCCCCGCCCCACTTGGCTCGCTCCTACTCCGATCGCGGGGGAAGAGTCCCATCTGGACCGATGCGGGGGCGCGCGCGAATACAAAAGCCTCCTTAAAGCGATTTTCGTTTTCTGCAAAGATGGAGACTGGAAGAGTATCCAGGCGAGGAGGCACTCGGGAGCGCTCCGAGGACGGGGCATTCTGCCTATGCAGCTGTTGCCAGCTTTGCAGCGTTGTCACCCCTCCCCGCATCTCCCCACGAGACGCCAATGTCTCACCTCCCACCAGCAGCATCTCGGTTCCGTTCCATGGGTCGGGGCTCACCCTTCAAGGCGAGCGAGGGGAGCCACTTCCTTGGCCTCGAGCGCCTATTTGCGACAAGTGGTCGTGGAAAGAACACGGGCTGGGGCCGGATGCAAGTGGGACATTTCCCCCTCCACCTCGCAGCGTGGGAGGTATAGCTCAAGTCTAAACGCGTTTACTCAAGCGTAGGGGGGGGGGAGCCAGTGCAAACCCGTCAGGCCAGATCTCGCCCCATTCTTTGCCAGACCTTCTTGAGGGCCAGTCCATGCAAGACCTTTCTTGGCTGCACACCGCAGATCAGTTCTGTGGACAAAGTCTGCTAGTGGCGGGTGAGGAAGTTTCCCTGCCCTCTTGTTGAGGGGTGGTGGTGTCGGAATTGCGCCTCTCTTTATAAATCCCCAATTCCCCATCATCCACTTGCTTCCAGGTTGAGAGAAAAACTGTTGAGGTACCTCTCTTTCGCCTAAAACGACCTCAGTGTGTAGCTAGCAGGGTAGTGTGATACAAAGAGCTTATGTCTTCAAATGCAACGTGCTTTATAAAAGCACCCTCTTTAATCATCATCATCTTAGAATGGAAAATGACCCCTATGGATCATCAAGTCCAGCCCTTGTCAAGGAGGCCCCCTGGGGAATCGAACTCCCAACCTCTGCCTCCACAGCTAGAGAGCTAAACCACTGAGCTATCCAGCAGTTCTTTAGGGCATCACTGAGATCCTAACTCCCAGTGCAGGACTGTTTCTTGCCTTACAGGAGAACAATGTTTGTGTCATTGTCTTGCACACTCATTTGGATGCAGACCTGTGTTCTCCCATGTATAAATTGGCCTCTTGTGGCCACCTGGAGTCTGTTGCTGCTTAATGTATTTTGGTCCTGGAGGAGGTTCAATACATTTGATTTTAAAGATGAACATCCAGGATCACTAATTTCTTTTTAATTTTTTTAAATTTGGGGGACAATGCATATTTGGGCTTTGACAACATGCATACTGTACTTGATTGGGAGTTAGTTCCATTTAAAAAAGGAAAGAACGTCTGAGTAAAGATATACAAGACTGTGCTATTAAAGTGTTGAAGCATACAAGCATTGGCAACATCTATATCTACAGCTAGATTCCCAAATCCCAAAATTCCATACCAGGGATTTAAATTTATGTTATGTATTTACTTGTTATACTCCAAATTCCACTTTTCCTATGTGGTTTGGCTTTGCCACTCATCCTTAAAGAGAGCGAGGTAGGTCAGGCTGACAGAATGTGTCTGGATCAAAATTATGCAGTGAGAGCTGCATGGCTGAGGGGGGATTTGAACCCAAGACTCCTGAGTCCTAGTCCTACATGGCAATCATCACACCACAGTAACTTCTGTTCCATGGAACTATGTCCTGGCTTTTCCTGGTCAGAGCAGTGTATCATGATTTCCTAGTCCCTCAAAAAAAAAAAACCTATCCTGACAGATTAGAAGAAAGGATCATGGCCTTACATTGCATCCTTTGCACACCAAAGACAAAGAAGGGGATAGGAGTGTCTCTACTGTCAGGCAGGTGGAAGAGGAGGCAGCACATGCTGAGGAAGCAGGAATAAACGGAGTTGTGTGTGCCAAACAGGCCACATCCACCAGCTGAACGGATGCCCTCCTGTGCCACGGGGGATGCCCTATCATGAAGACTGTTGAGATGACAGTCTTGTCAATATTTGTATCCATAGTGACTGAAGCTCCACTTCGGGCTTCCTTTCAGGGGACAAAACATCATCAGGAAGAAACTTGAGACATGTTTCCCTTTCCAGAGATGGGATTTCAGGATTGCTCCTGGAGTTGCCTTCTATACCAACTGCTTTGCTGGCCAGCCCTGACCAGGCACGAAACAAAGCCAGGCTAATTGACCACAAGCTGAACTGAGGTCAAGAATGAATTTAACCTCTTTGGAGAGTTCTGCTTCTAATGTAGCTTCTAAGTGAGAGTGCAGGCTGGATCTGATGTAGGACTCCCTTGGTTGCTCTTCTGGCAGTCCAGCATATCTGCAAAGCTCTGCTTCAGCATCACGTCTCAAATGCATCATTTTCTCTCTCTCAACTTTCTTCACAGTCTAGCTTTCACATCCATACATAATAACTGGGAATATCTTGGGTCTCCCATGATGCATCTTAGCATCTAGGAATCTTCTCTAGTTCCTTAATAGCTATCTTTCCAGTCTTTTTTCTTGGCTTTATTTAGTCTTCACTTGAATTAGTGATTGAACCAAGGTATAGAAAATCTAAAGCAATTTTGGTTTTCTCATTATCAGCTTTGAAGTTGTGCTATTTTTTTCTCAAGTAATTTTTGTCTTTTTAATGTTCAACGAGAGAGCACTGGTACATTGTATGGTGGATAGAGATATGCATTCAAGACCTCTGCTTAGCCAGGAAACTGACTGGGAGGTGGCAATGTTAAACTACTTCTTAAATTTCTTATATACCTTGAAAATCCAATTAGAATAGCAACAAGTCAGAAACAAACTGATTGCACATTACAACAAAACATTCAATTGTAAACCAGCATTTGCAGTTATTTATTTATTTATTTGATTTCTATCTCGCCTTTTAAACCTTTATTGGTAGTTGTTCCAAATCACTGCTATTTTCTGTCAATACTGTAATGTGGTTTCATCTGAATATCTTAAAACTATTTGATGTTTCAGCAACTCATATTTTGCCCTTCACTTTCATCTAACCCAGCTGTCCATATATATTCTGCATAACAACTGAACAAATAAGATTCAAATTATACCCTTGACTGATACTTTTGACAATTGGAAATTTCGCTGTACAGTATTTTGTCCCCTGTAACCTGTGGTTAATTGTATTAGTTACATATCAGAATAATTAAATGTTGAAATATATCAATTTATTTTACAATTCATAGCTTTTCACAAACTAAACAGGCAAAGGGTTTGTTACAGTCTAAAAAGCACAAATGGTATTTTTTCTGAAATGTGTATTTGCAGTATGATCTCTAGTGCCTCTTCTTTTTCTCAACCTAGTTTGAACCCCTGGCATTTCTTGCTTTAAAAATAGTAAAAACCTTTCTTGTAAAATCTTGAATATCACTTTGGTTGCATGACAAATTGATGCAATGGTTTGATCATTGTGGCAACCTTTGGCATCTCCTCTCTTTGGAAGTGAAACATAGGTTGAATGTTCCCAATTTTCCCATATTTGGCAGCATATTTGTGTTAGTAGTTTAATAGATCCAGTTTTTGTAACCTGAAATAGATATCTTGTTATTCCATCAACTGCCTATGATTTATTTCCTCAAATTGCTTTTAAATCAACATTCACTTTCCTTTAAAAAATCACAGCTTTTTCATCAAACGATTCTTCTTTAAAGTTACCTATCATCCTCACAACCAAATTAAAAAAATTGAATATTTTTTTGAATGCAGGGCATTTCTTTGGAAGCTTTACAATGTATCTGTTCTCTATATTTACAAGAGCTGGTTGGATAACTCAGTGATTTAGGTATCTGTCTGTGGAGCCAGAGGTTGAGAGTTCAATTCCCCACTATACCTTCTGTGGGTACAGTCAGTCTGCGGGGCCTTGGGCAAACTTCACAGTCTCAGGGCGCCCTGAGGATTGGAATGGCAAACTATTTCTGTGTATTCTCTACTGGAAAATCCTGAAAAGGATTACCATAAGTCAGAATTTAATGACCGCACATCATCATCATCATCATCATCATCATCATCATCATCATCAATAATAATATTATTATTATTATTATTATTATTATTATTATTATTATTATTATTATTATTATTATTATTATTATTATTATTATTATTTTTACAGGATGTTTTCCATCCATTTAAAACAGGGCAAACTGGATGTTGTTATATTCCCAACTCCCATCAATTCAGTAAGCAGGGCCAGGGATGGGATTTGGGGAGGACACCACCAATGTTATAGCAAGACTACTCTACCAAAGTGACCACTAGCAGCTATTTTAGATTTTCAATGAATGGCC